AGCACACTGTTCTCTACACTTAAGGGAAATCCCCCACAATATTAAATGGCCAGCAACCATGATAAATGAGCTGTCGGAATTTTAAAAAATAATAATTTTGGCGTTCCCTGAATTTCTTAGTTTAAATGCTATGCAAAATGCTTCTGTGTGTAACCAAGAACTTTATTGCAGATATCAAGCCCAGAGTATAAGCGAGGCCTGCAACCAAAACGGAAGTTTCAGCTTTAGGCAGGTAAATCTGCAAGGTGGCAGCCTCATAGCTAAGGGAATGCAGTTATCGCAACAGATAAGATACAAGCTGTCAGTCTTCTGGTGTCATGTCAGGTCAAATTGGTGTTACGTTTCCCTTGTGCTTTACACATACAGCAATAAGGAATCCACTTCCCATTGGGGCAGTCCCACAACAGAGGAGCGCACGGGTGAATAGTCTATCCATGGGGCGAGTCCAATTGTGTATCTTCCCTTGTGACTGGCTATTTATAGGATGGTGGTATTCACACCTTTACTCCAGTCGTATGAGACAGCACTACAGAAGTAATCCTTCATGCAGCTGCATGTGTGTGTAAAGGGTGTGATAGCAGGTTCACATTTGTGTATAGGAAGCAGACCACTGTGGCAGATAGGCTGAAAATGAAACGGTGACCTTCGTGCGGTTTTGATTGTTGGAAGTTCAATATGACATTTTCCTGGGAAGCAAAGCTGTTGCTGCAGTGGAGAGAGACCAAATGAGAGGCACGGAGGTCTAGCATTTCCTGGAACATCTCCATGGATTTGTTCTCAACCAGAGAAAGGCATGATACACATGAACTCCATTCTCATCCAACTCAAGCCGCCCTCAGGGCCACTCAGTTATGTGAGGAAGTCTGGGAGAATTTCAGTGACTCTCTTCCTTAACTGTTGTAGTCTTTCTTCTTTCTCCCTTTCCTCTTTCATCAACACTGGGAACTGCCGCCAGGCCCTGAATGCAATCAGTGTTATTCTCCTATATTGAAAGATGGAGGAGATAAATCCACATGCCAAAATTTAAAACATCCACAAATGGTATACAAACTTTTCCAGGACAGTACTGTTTTACCCCAAACCCCTATGGGTCAGAGAAGATGAAAGTATAACAGAATGATTGTATTGTAGTCAAGCTAAGGACTTTTAAATAACATCCCCAAAAAATGCTGTTGTGTGACTTCAAGAAATAGCCCCATATCTGTGACAACAGGATGGCCAAAAATTCCCTGGGTTTTAATTCCCCATTCACTGCTGCCCCTGTCTTCTGACCCCTTTTATCTACACTGCTTATCTGTATGCACCTCTCTCCCTTTTTCCTGGAGTGGGCTTCAGCAGTTATTGCTGGGTGGCACACTTGCAGACAGGAATATCACTCACAAAAGCAACAGCTTTGCCAGAAATGCATTTTAAAAAAGAAACTTTAACTTTTGAGAAGTCAGTGTCTTGAGTAGTCTTTGAAGATTTGAGCAAAGTAAAACCTTCACCTTGAATTTTAAAAAGTTTTCTCTCTTGGCAGGATAGAAGCTGGGCAGGGAGGAGACTCAATGGCTTGCCAGCTTCACCTGCCAAGCCTTTAGATATGCAAATAGTAGGTCTGGCAGACACAATGAGATGGCCAAGTCATAAATACATCCTTCCAGCTAGACAGGTGATATTGAGCAGGGATTTGGAGGATTTAAAGGTGCTAGAAAGACTTTAGGAGAAGCTTCTTTGACCTGGCCTGATCTGGTCAGTGGACAGAGAGAGATGATAAAACTCCTGGGTACAAGGAGGAGGGGCTCTTTTGTGCTGATTGCATCAGGGCAGACAGAACTCATATCCTGAGGTCTGTAGGAGGCAGCATTGCCATGTGCTGGCCTGAATATCTGAGCAGAAACTTTAAATGTAATGGGACTCCTTTAGAACAACTGTAACCTTTTACATTTGGAGCCTGCCTTATGCCACGATCCATTAGCACATATACAGAGGGAGGAACAGAGGAACTGTGTTTTTCTTTTGGATCCCTCGCTCAATCTGTGGCTGTGCTAACAGTATGCATGTGGACATTTCCCTTTTAATAAATGCTTTATAACTTCTAATACTGGTAGTGGTTCTCTGTACCACATTAGACCTCCCCTGTTCCGTACGCGCTATTTGAAAAAGGAGCACCAGAAAGGGGGGGTGTCAGTTGGTGAGTGGCCACATCCTCAGTGGCACACAAGGCAATAAAGTTTTTTCCATGGCAACCACTGGATAGCAGGGGAGACAGAGGTGAGGCCTCAGAGCTGGGAGAGGGAGCTGGGAGCCCTGGCCCTCTCAGTGGGCAGTTCCTACAAAGGCCATGTGTAAGCAGCGGCTGAACCAAGAGGGAGAGTAAAGCCCCTTTGTGTGGGGATAACCAGGTGGGTGGCATGAGCCAGGCAGAGAACTTGGGCAGCCAGACGCCTTGGAGGGCACAGTGAAACTGGGTCTGCAGATCAGAGCAGGATTGTTCCACCACACAGTTTTATTTATTTTTATTTATACCAGACCTACTATTTGCATATACAGTGAAGTGAGGTTTTCTCTTTTAGCCCCTTCTCTCAGTGTCGCTCCAATAACACTTAGGTATATGTAGACTTACAATCCTAAATCTAGGCTGGGGGAGAACACTTGTGATGGTGTCCTGTCCACATGTATCACCCCTTGTTTCTTTACTATTTATTGCCTTTGCTTCTAAAAGTTTATTAGCTTCCTCTTCATTTTTGCCTTTGGCACAGAGTACTTAATTTGTTTATTAAATAGTCAGAATCTGATTTTCCAGTTGCAAAATCTGGCAGTCTGAATTTATGAACACCATTAGGTCTCTGCCTAAATGCTGTGCACTAAGGAAAATCAGTGTCAAAATTTATTTGCATTAGTTTGCCAAAACCAGGGGTAACTATCCCTTGCACTAAATACAACTCAAGCAAAAGCTGCATATAGTCACCTGTCATTGTATTGGTCTGCAGTCTTCTGTTTCTCCCACAAGGCATGTTTCTCTTTATTAAACATATCTAACCAAGCCCCAAAGGCAGTCTTCTTAAGTGAAGTCTCATGGAATTTGTTTGCATTTTCTTCCAAAGCAGATGCATAATCCTTGTACTGGGTACCAGACCCAAGCAAAAGAGAGAATTTCACCAATGCATACAGCAACATGGAGAAAAACACAAAATAATGGAGGACAGAGATGAGATCGCGAATTCAGAAGAAAACGAACCAAAGACTCTATACATTAAAAACAGAACAGCCAGAGTTATTTCACACAAGCATAGATTTCTGCACTGAATACAGTTCAGCATCCAGAAAGTCTCAGCTTTCAGGGTTGTTTTCTTGTCTGAAACGGGCACAATCTTGCTGCTTTCAGTGGTGTAGGAGAGGGGCAAGGTAGGTAGGCTCCACACATATCCAAGCACACGGGAAGTCAGGTTGGGGCACATGCATACTCGTGGTCTCCTCAGGCTCCCGAGTGCCACTCGAGAGGGGAACAGAGTCACATACGTCATGTTGCGTGGTGCCATAGTAATATAAGGACTGCCGTTCAGTTTTTCAGTTACTAAAGCCTTGCGCAAGCTTCTAACCCCACCCCAGGTTCCATACACCCCAAGCCCAAGAATAAGTGTGGCCCACAACATGGGTACAACAGTTGTTGGGCACTCTGCCAGTCAATCTACCCACTTGTCCAGCCTACTGGTAAGGAAAGCAAGAGCAAGCTGCCCCTGGAATTGCACCTTAACCCACAGGCCAGGATTAGAATTTCTTCCGAGTTGGTACTTTCGGACCGAAAAGCTGTTTCAGAAATCAACATTTTTCTCTTGCTTACCTTTATCCAGCTCCTCAAGCACCTTTTCAGTAATAGGCAAGAACAGAGCTCCTCAGCCTGAGCTGTTTTCCTAGCAAGAGTTTCCCGTGTGTGCTGAAGCCAGGAGACCAGGCACTTTCTCTGCAATTCCAGGCAGTGATGCCTTTCTGCCACCTGAGCATGGAATCAATAAGGGTCAGAGAGGGTCAGACAGACAGCAGGTACTCAAATGACTGCTGCGTGGCTGCAGCCACAGAACCCTGCAGCGATACTATCAAGCTTACAGCTCCTACCGCCGTCAAGGTACGCTTTTGGTATTTCCATTCATGATTTCATATTTCACTGCAATTATATTTCCATTGCAAGTAGCCTAACTGCTGCTTCTGTCCAGCTATAGGATGGCAATAGGATTGCATTTTCCTTACTATTATGGCATGGAGTTCTGCCAGGTCTGGATATGCAGATGCTCCTGACCCTGAGTTATCAGTGCAGATAACTATTATTTATTCAGCTGGCTGATTAAATTTCTAGTCTGTTCTTCAGAGATTAGGGCAGATAACACTAAAAAGATTGCCTCCCATTGGTCAACAGCAGGTGCTACAAGTGAAGCTGCTTTCTACACTGTTGCTTCTTTATAGCTCTCCTTTTTAATTAAACTCTCTCCTAAGACAGAGACTTCAAGCCAGGAGTGTCTCCTAGTCAGGATGCACAAACGAGTCAGGGAAGAGGGATGGGATACTGCCAGGTCAAGCTAAGCAGAAGCTGCTCTGAGAAACCTGGATTTGATGGGCAGGACCTTCCGTTCTGTGACTCTAAGCCCCCTGACCGAGGATTAGTGAGTAGAGGCTTGAGGGGAGGGGACAGCAGGGACCCAGCATTTCTTTCATTTTTACTCTGGCACTTACCGCCATATTTTGCCGCATTTGCTCCATCAATCTTTTCCAGGGCTCCAGCCCCCAATATTTGAGCAGAACCATAACATAATGCTCCTCCGCTTTCGATAGGAGCTGCTGCTCCCTCTCCAGCCTTTTCTGCTTTTCTAGTTCTTTCTGCGATTTAGGAAACAAAAGAGATCTAGTCAGATCCTGACTAACAACATTTAGGGATTGTTGGGAAAGGAATTAAGAAAAAAAAATTAAACTGTATTGGGGTGGAGAGTGTTGACAAAGAGAAATTTTACTCCCTCTCCCCAAACACCAGAACTCGAGGGCATCCAATGAAGGTTTAGGACAAACAAAAGGAAAATATTACTCTACACAGAGAGTGATTAAGATCTGGAATTCGCTGCCAGAGTATGCAGTGATGGTCACAGGAATAAACAGCTTTAAAGGGGATTAGATAGATTCATGGAGGATAAGTCTATCAATGGCTACTAGCCATGGTGACTGAGGGGAACCTCCACATTCAGGGGCACTAAACCTCTGAATCCCAGACCCAGGAGGCAACATCAGGGGAAGGCCTTAGACTCTATGCCCTGTTGTTGGCCCTCCAGAGGAACTGGTTGGCCACTGTGTGAGAGAGGATGCTGGCCTAGATGGACCATTGGTCTGATCCAGGAGGGCTATTCTTATGTTCTTATGTTTTTGTCTTGTGGTTGATTTGCATAATAAAGGAGTTGCTTATGGGAACATCCCTAGGGGGGCACTTCCAGACATAGTTGTTTTGGCATACTAACATGTTTAAATGTTGCTCTAGAACACACTGTAACTATTTCCTGGCACTCAGACCATCAGCTTCAGTTGTTGGTGAGCAATGATTCTTGCCCTATAATTGCAAATATTTTTCTATGAGGACAGAAGTTGCACTAGAGGCATAAGGTCCTATTAGGCAGTGCCAGTGACTTCACAACTGCTTGCATGATTTTGAATGGTCCATCACTTTTCCCTTTTCCTTCACAGACTGTGCACATACCTTCTTCAAAGGCTGAGCAAGTCATGGGCCGGCCAGCCACCTCCTCCTCGGAATCAGAACAATCGGGACCTGCACCGATAGAATCCCCAAATGGGCAGCTGGGTCCAGTAACAGACCCAACGAGGAAAGCACTGGAAAGCAAAAAAGCTTCCCAGTGACAGCCAAGCTGATCAATCTTCCAGGAGAAGAAATGGTGTCTCCAACTCTGCGGGCCTCTCCCAAACCAGCAGAGTGTAGAAGGAGTAGAGAGCAATTGACAGCTCTAGAGAGAAGACTCAGCAGCTATCAATGTTAATTCCTGGAGCAGAGTCCTTGCAGGACCAGGACTGACAGGCTGATAGGGAAACAGTAAAGACCTGCACCTATAGGAAGGTGACCCCCTGAGCCTCAGGTGATGAGTCAGCAAAGGAGGCTGATAAAAGAAACATGCTGAGCAAGGCTTGGTGTGGAAGCAGTTTTGCTTGTCACACCTCTGTAAGCCGACCTGCTTAGTAAATAGAGCTCTGCCCTGCCTTGCTGCCTTGTACCTTGTTGCTGGTAACCTGTACTTGCTCCTACAGCCTGGGACCCAGACCCTGCATCTTGCACTTGTTCCCCAGCCCTAGAACCGGACCCTGGAACCCTTCACCCTCCTGACCCTTGGACCGGACCTGCAATCCCTGACTCCAGACTGGTTTGTAGACCTTGCCTCTGTACCTATTGCTGTGCTTGTTGTACTGTATTTGGGTATTCAGGAAACCCTGTGTAGAGCAATAGTGCCAGGCTTGGCCCTGAACATGCGTAGTACCTTCTATCAGCAAAGCAAGGCTATTCCCACCAGTCCTACCCTCCACCTCAGCAATGTTAGCCTTGCCCACTTTCATTACACAGGGAAACAGGTTATTATTTCATATGGAGACTATCAGTGTAATTCTGAAAGAAAATGTCTGGAATGACCTGTATAAGAGGTGAATGCAAGCAATGGTAATGGTTTTCACCTCTGAACACTGCTTTACAGCATGGTTAGATTGACCTCTCCAGAGCAACGAACAGTCAGGAATTATTAGAATTCATTAATACTCAAACTGTATAATAGAAGTGAACACAATATTCTTTTACCATTTTCTGCAGTCTCCTCTCCTCCCGCCTCTTCTCTAGCTGAGCCTCTTTTTCTGCAGCTTCTTGCCTCTGACGTTCCTCCTCTTCAGCCTGCAGCAGGGCCTTGAAATGGATCAAAGCATCGAGTAGGCCAAACCCAGCACATTTACATTTCGCCACAAAGAAACACAGAATTTGCAGGCTAAACACTTTCCTGAATAGAGAAAATGCCCGAATTTATACTAGATAAACCAGTGTTGGACTGGATGGGTCCAACATTGGCTTCTCTTATGTTCTTAATTGCAATCCTATGATTTCAGTGGACCCAGGCTGAAGTAACTGCATAGGACTGTACTGTTAGTGCCCCAGGCCCCTTAAGGTATGCTTCACACAAGGACACTACAAGTACATGAAAACTATTTCCCTCCGTGCCAGAGTGTCACACCGGCTCAAGTATCTCTTTGCCTGAATAGTGGTTATTACTCACAGAGGGTAGTTTTACCAGTAGCCATGAAAATTACCTGTTCCAAGGCTGTATACCTGTGAAAACTGGATGATGGGAGGTATAGAAGAGAGAGACTTCCAGAGCATCTAGCTGGCCGTTTTTTTAACCTGTACTGCTGTTGCCTTAATTATTTTTTTCTTCTCTAACCACACGATCTTAATACGTTCCATCAGGGTAGTCGGCTTCCTCCAGTTTTACTTACTAGCCTCTCTTCTTCACGCTTCTTCTTTGCTTCTTCCAGTTCCTTCCTCCGTTCTGCTCTCTGGATCGCTCTCTCTTCCATAGCTACAGAATTGAGAAAGAAAGGGTACGAGGATTAAGGCAAACAATACTTTTGGATGTTACGAATATGGCAGCATGGTTTGCAAACTTCTCATTTAAATAGTGTCCAACTTGTCATCTGAATTGGACAGATGGGCCCTCTAACTCAACATTTCACTTCAATGAGGCAAGCAGAATACAGCAGGGAACTGGATAAGCTGGACCTGGCAATATACCTTCTAAAAAAAAAATGAAGCAGAATTGTGGAAGTACAGGAAACAACTATGCCTGCTGGTACCGTGAATGTATATAGTGGTTGCTGGCAGACCCACTTAAGTCTCCTCTCATTCATCCATTCCAAACTGTATTCATTTTGTATACTTTTCTTCTCAGCTTGCCAGTCTTTTGATGAAGCTTTTTGGAGAACAGATACAAAAGGTATATTGGCACCAAGGCTGGGTTAACCAAGAAAGCAAATCTAAGTAAATTTTCATTAACATTCTCAATGCTTTTATTTCACCATCGGCTTATGGGGTACAATAAAGCTTTCTTTTGCACCCAGTGCTATTTAAGAAGAAGAAGAAAAGGAGATTGGATTTATACCCCGCCCTTCACTTGGAGTCTCAGAGCGGCTTACAAACTCCTTTTCTCTCCCCTCCCCACAACAGACACCCTGTGAGGTGGGTGGGGCTGAGAGAACTCTGACACAAACTGCTTTTTCAGGAACAGCTGTGCCAGAGCTTGTGACTGACCCAAGGTCACATCAGTAGGTGCAAGTGGAGGAGTGGGGAACCAAACGTGGTTCTCCCAGATTAGAGTCCACACACTAAACCACTACACCAAAGTGGCTCTCCAAACATCTAAATGAAGCAGCTCAGAGAAGGTTCCAGGCTCAATACTATCAATATGCAGTGGTTTCTCTCTCATATTTCCTTCTAATTCTAGGGTGGCACTGGAGGTTCTAAATCAGTGTCTGTAGGCAGTGAAAGACTGAATGAGGGTGAATAAACTGAAACTTAGCACTTGTATTTTGTCCAGACTGTGGGTCAGGAGTAAAAGCTAAAGCAGGAAATGGTGCTCAACCTGTTCCAGATGGAGTAACACTCCTCCTAAAGGAACAAATATGTACTTCATGGGGTACTCCAGGATGCTTCTTATTGCTGGACAAACAGGTGAATTCAGGTGGCAGAAAGGTCTTTTGTTAGCTATAGTCATTCCTGGAGGATGCAAACCTGGCCACAGTTCAATATGATCGATAACATCCAGATTATAGTACTGTAACATGTTCTTCAAGGGACTGCCCAGGAAGATGGATCAAAAACTCCAGTTAGTAAAAAATGTGGCACCAAGAGAATTAATGGATACTTGCTGTAATGAACCCATCATGCCACTGTTGTATCAGCTGCATTGGCTGATTATTCAGATCCGGGCTCAATTCAGACTGCTGGTGTTGTCCTATAAAGCCCTTAAAATGCCTTGGATCCAAAGTACCTGAAGAACCACCTCTCTCAACTTGCTCAGGTTCTGAGAGCCAGAGAGGGTGCCTTTCCTGCGATAATCAATGTTATCTGAGGTGAGGTTTGTCAGGACCTGTGGGGGTGCCTTTTTGGTTACTACCCCCTTGCTCTAGAAGTGACCTCCCTCCCCCAACAGTGTGAGAGCAGCACCAGTCCTAGAGGCCTTCTGGACGAAGTTTAAAAGCCTCTTGTTTTGGTTTTATTATCAGCTGGCTTGGAAGCTTTTTGGGCTAAAAGGCAGCATAGTCAACGTACGGAAAATAGTCTTAGGAGTTGCATTTTGCAACTTAAATCACATGAGAGATCCTCACAGGGAGGCGGTGAAAGCAACTGTGACACCAGAGTTCAGGGGTCGCAATAAAGGTAGTTAATGCTGCCATGAAATACAAATCAAGGCAAGGATCTCATTTTAGGGAGTGAGTTGTTATAGTGATCAATTTTTCATTTAAGTGAGAGTGGGAAGGCAAGCTGGGCTTTGTTGCATCTCTCTTTTGCCGGTCCACATCTTCTTTAACAAAACATCAGGTAGATTTTAGTCATTCCTCATTTTCCCCCACAATGGAAACTCCCTTCCAACGTTTTCTAGAAACCACCCTGTGAGGTAGGCTAGGATGAGACAGATGGACTGGTCTTGGCTGACTGGGAATCTGAAACTGTCTTTCCTTGGCCCAGTTCTCTAGCCACTGTACCAGACTTAGGGTTGCCAGCTCCAGGTTGGGAAATAGTTGGAGTTTTGGGGGTGGAGCCTGAGGAGGGCAGGATTTGGAGCAGGGAAAAGACTTCAGTGGGGTATAATCCCATACAGCCCACCTTCCAAAGTGGACATCTGTCACCTGGGGATCACTTCTAATAGTGGGAGACCTCCAGCCACCACCAGGAGGTTGGCAACCCTAACCAGACTGGTTCTTGTAGTTTAAGTGGTTCTGAAATTAAGCAGTCTGGGCATTCTTAGTGTTTTGTCAACATCAGGTACAATCAAATGTTTTTGAGATTTCTTGGACACTACAGCTCAATCAAACCATTCAAAGAGTAACCATCAAATATTGTTACATTCCCACAGAATTTTAGAATTTAGTATCTGGACAAGACGATCCAAATTCACAGCACATATTTCTGCGTCCACTGCAAATGAAGCAACTCTGAATGATCTGTTGGTTGAATGCAGACCAGCAAAGGAGATACAGGTATTAAACTTGGAAGTCAAGATCATGATTTGCTCTCTCTGAGGGTAGATGCATTCAGCCAGTTCACAGCAGGCAATAAATACATGCGTTTCTCTCCCATTTTGAAAGGTATTGCTTGCACATATTTGAAATGATGCCATCATGAGAAGGTTAGAATTCCAAGTCATCTTTTACAAAGGCAGCCCTCACATTGAAAAAAACACGGTAATGCAGATCCAACATGACCACAGATTGGAAATATTAAAAGCAAGGTATCCCAAACCATGTTGAAGAGCTTATCTCATCTCCCCACAGTCACCATCTTATGACGACTAAGATGGATAGTTTTCTTACCAGATAAAAAGGTTGGACACATTAGACTTCATAAAAAATTATTTTTTTAATCAGTTCTCCTGCAATATAAAAAATAGTTAATTTAACAGAAGAGCAAGATTCAAGTCCAGTAGCACTTTAAAGACCCAACAGGATTTCCACGGTTCCCTTTGTCAGATACAAGCAGGAATAAAAGGAATGGAGATCCCTGAGCCTTTACATCCCATTCAGAAGGTGGGATGGCTGTGTGAGGACACAAAGGTACAATGAAAAATCTATTCAGCTTGATTAGAGCAGGGGAGAAATGCTTAGGGACAGAAAATTAGAGTCTGGACTGTAAGCGCTCGGGGATCTCCATTCCTACTTGTATATGACGAAGGGAGCTTTGGCTCTTGAAGGCTCATACCCTGGAAATCTTATTGGTCTTAAAGGCCCTACTGGACTTGAATCTTGCTCTTCTACTGCTAAACAACATAGCTACCCACCTGAAGTTAATTTAACAAAAACAGCAAGAAGCTCTTTGAGAGCCCAAAACTGAACATTCATTAATAGAAACAAACATTTTTTATTATTATGGGCTTAGCATTTCATTCTACAGCAACTACTAGCTAAAAGGCCCATTCAGCAAAGGTGAGACCTTTTCTGTGTGCCTACCTATGGGTTGGATCCTATAACACTCTTCCAGTAAGTCTTCTTTCAGCAGAAAAAGAGTTCATTTAAGGGGAAATGGTGCCTTCTGATTGGGAAAGGCTGATTGGGAAAGGGAGTCATAGGATCCAACCCTTTGAGCTAGTAACTTGGTGCATTTACTGAACTGCTATTAGCTGCAACCCTAATATTTCTGAGCTTGTCTGAACCACAGTAGTCTCATTGGTCAGTAGGATAGAGAATGTAGGGTCATCCTATGACCTCACAAACCTAGTTCCAGTGCCAAAAGGGCATTTGTATGCATATGAACATCTAGGTGGAAACTAGTTATATCTTTGGATAAATCTTCAAGGCTGTGATTAGATAATGGACTACAGAGAGAGTAATAGCCTTATCTTTACCAGACAACGGATATATTAAATGGTAATCATGTAAACATACAGGGAAGTGTGATATTAATAGAGAAATAAAAATTGAATTTATTGAGAAATATGAATCACAACTAAATAAGAAATAACTGATTCCATCTCTGCATTTCCACATGGGTAGGCTCTCTGTTCGATTGGACTACCTAAGAATCTACCAATACATTTGTTAAGGGGTAGAGCATTGTGTCAAGCCAAGAAGAGTCTTCAATATATTGGGATTGTTACAAACGTCAGATAATCTGGAAGCACTGGAAAAGAAGGGGTATTCAGTCCCCCCAAAGAGGGTGCACACTTCCTTTTTGAATCACTGCATAACTCAAGATGGTCCCTTTGTTCTAGGCTAATTAACTTGTTCCTAACTAAAGGAAGATCTGAAGGAAATCTAGGGTAAGGAATACATAGAAATGAGAGTCTTTCATCTAATAACTTTGCCCAGGAGGATAGAAAATGATCGTTTGGTCCATTTTAGAAGGTCAGGAAGAAAATCCAGGTCTAGCAAATAAACTCTAAATTTCATCACAGCTTTCCACACCATCAAAGAGATGGAAGGAAGGCCAGCTTCTGCAAACAAGTTGGAGTTTGAAATGCAATTAGGTGTGCAGAGAAATTCTGACTGTAAATATTCAATTTTGGAAGTAAAAGCTGGAAACCAAACTGGAGCTCCACAGAGAGGAAAGGGTCTAATTTTTGCTTTGGAAACTTCCAGCGCAAAAAGGCACAAATTGCCCTCCAGGATGATTTAAAAATCTCATGATTCACAATCCTAGACTAGTTAAAATGTTACTTGTCAATGTGACCAAAAAAAGAAGGAAAGGTTTGTTAATATAAACTGTCACCATCCAAATAGTACCTTGAACTGTACACACATGAAGTTTTAAAGAGTTTCTTTTTTCAACTTCCAGATATTAATGAAAACCTAATTCTACTATAAAATGTTACTTGTCAATGTCACAAAAAAAAGGAAAGGTTTGTTAATATAAACTGTCAACATCCAAACAGAACTGTACACACATGAAGTTTTCAAGAGTTTCTTTTTTCAACTTCCAGATATTAATGAAAACCTAATTCTACTATAATTCTACTAACTGAACATTCTATAGGCTTTGACCATTGCTGTTTCTTTCATCAAGAAATCCTCTTAAAATAAGGACACATAACTTTTAGTATCTCATTCACTATGCAATCTCCTGACTAAATATGCATAAATCCCACTGTGACCAATAGGGTTTATTCTAAACTACGTGTGCATAGGATTGCATCCACAAGATTGCATACTCATGTCCACGTTTTGCTCATCAAAGACACCATAAGTTGGCTTTTCAGTAAATTCATGCCATTTTGAACCTGTCTTCTGAATGATTTAACTCATGTCCAAATTGACTGGATTCAAACTCCTTTCAAAAATAGTTTGGAATATGTTTTAGGGGACTGAAACCTGACAGAAATACTTCTGAACAGAGAGGTGCTCTATATTTTCAATATGTTTGCCTGCATGCCTGATCCTTTATTGAAGTTTCTGACAAAGATCCAATGAGCAAACTTCTCCAAGTGCAGAAATGTACCTTTGAGTAAAGGATGAGCAGAGGATGACACCTTCAGATTCTTCCTGTTTTTAGCAGCCAGTTGGTGATCGTCTGACCTGAAAGAGAGCAGAATAAAAAAACCCTACAATATAGGAGAAAAATTAGATTACTCACTCCAGCTCTTTTCAAGTACAGAACAGATTCCAGAAGATCTCAAATAGCAGTAATGACAGTTCTCTACCTCACCAGGAAGAAGTCTAAGTGAATTCATTTATCTTTTTTAGAATATCATCAGGACCAACAGGATCACTAGGGTCAAATTCAGCCCTGTTTACTGAAACAAAACCCACTAGTTCTAGTTTACTCTCTCAGCCTAACCTACTTCACAGGGTTATTCTGAGGATAAAATGACAGAGAGAACTATGGATGCGCCTTTGAGACTGTCCCAACCTGGCATTATGCAGACATTGGAGAAATTGATATATATGGTGTTGGCACTGTACCTTGAAGGTCTGGTATTCTTGTAATCTGTCTGATTTTCTCTTAACTGCTTTCCTCCTCTCGGAGCAGGATTGCCAAATGCCCTGGAAACAGCTGTGGCTTCCCTGGCATCTTCCTGGGCCTTCTTCAGACTCTGATTTCCCTGGAGCTCAAGGATCAGCCCTTGCTGTTCTTTAAGTTGCCGTCGCTGTTCTTCAATCAGCTGCTGTTGGAAGGCATGGCGGTGCTCAAAGGGGCCCAACCAGCCAGGTGCCACTTTCGGGCTTGGAGTACCAAGATGCTGTATGGAACTTCTTGTTAGGCCATCAAACATGACTTGGTCGTGTGCACTCAAAGCAGCATGCTTCCGGGTGACCTGCCATGCCCATTTGGGCTTTGGTGGAGGAATATTGCATTTCTGGCCAGTCTTTGGAGAGCAGGCATTTGTTCTTTCCACTTTTGCATCTGGGGGCTCCTTCTCTAAAAGGAGTATTTCAGCCACCTGGAAAAGAAGCCTTATGCTGATTATTAACACCAAGATCTCCATTCTCATTGAAGAAGTGTTTTGGCTTATGAAGCTTTTTTAAAAAGTCAGCCTGACTGCTCCCAAGGAACCTCCCAACAGCCTCTCAGGAAAACCAGAGGTCCATCAGTGGCTATTAGCCACAAGGTATAGATAGGGACTCTGGGGCAAGTGATGCTCTGTCTTCTTGGTGCTTGGGGGGGGGAGGTCAACAGTGGGAGGGCTTCTAATGTCCTGGCCCCACTGGTGGACCTCCTGATGGCACTGGTATTTCTGGCCACTGTGTGATACAGAGTGTTGGGCTGGATGGGCCTTTGGCCTGATCCAACATTGGCGTCTCTTATGTTCTTATTGTTTCCTATTCTTTCATTACATATTTAGGCATCCTATAGTCTCCCACCACATGGCCTCCTTAAGCAGGCACGGGATGGAAAGTCTCTAATCAGGAAGGAGACTGGGTCATAAAGCCAGCAGTTGCACAAGGCAGGTACATTTGTTCCATGGTCTTTTTGAGTTTCCCCAGCCATACAACAACTGCCCTTGAAGCACTGCTTTCTCACCTCACTACTTGTCCTGGGGTACAAAAGCCTTTTATGTTGTACTCAATTTCTTTGCATTACGGGGAAAACAGTTTGACAGAGCAGTGGTCTTTCTGCTTTTGGACAGTTCACTTGTTACTTTGTCCCTGAGATTCTACCAACACTGAAACTGCACGCAGGCCGTAAGTTTGCTTCTTCCCTTCTCCTACTATCCCCTCTGCTCTTGGGAAGAGAGATATTTATTTGAATACAGATTCTCCTTAGAAAAATTTATAAAACTAGTTTTGGAGCCACCTGAAGGAATAGTTTATTTAACTACAGGCACTGCACCTTCTTCGCTGTTCTGTATTTTACATCCCTGGTCAGCAACTAGCTTTGCAAAACATCCTCTTTGAGAAGGGAGTCAGGAGTGGCAGGGCCAAGGCTCTATGCCACATCCCCCCAAAAAAGGGTCCACACAGTGAAGGGCTGTAACCAGATACATTCCTTAGCCATAGCCCCCTCCTCCTCCTTGGCAGCGGGAGAGCACGGGCAGAAGGCATCACTTGGCGGGGGTGAATTTGGCCCAAGGTCAGTTACCACCTTCTTTTTCGTTAGGTCCACGCTTCGGAATGATGATCAATCTCTGTGTTAAAACGAATAACTAAATAAAAGCGAGAGGTAAAACCAGGCAGAAATAAAAGTTACCTCTCCGTGACTCAAAGACTGATCCTGAGCTGCTTCTGTCTCTCCAGCATTCCACGGGCAGTGGGCAGGATTTTTCTCCAGGGCCACCTCCTCCAGGAGCTTTGCCATTTTCCTCCTTGTTTCCTCCCTTTTCTGCTGCAGCTCTCTCTTTTCAATTTCCATTCGACTCCAACACTGCCATTCAGCAAAGTGACGGCGCAAAATGCATTTCCGATTAAACTCTGTTGCCAACTGTTTTTTCCTGGGAAACCAATGTAAAAATGATCATCCCCTATCAGCCCCTCATTAGGATGGCTTTTTGGAATCTGAACATGAATTTTAGACTAGTTTGTTTTTTCTGGACTGGTGCACCTTTAAGACAAAGATCAGCAAATAAAAGTTAAATTCTTAGTTAAGAACTGCTTGTTAAAGATTAAAAAATAAAAGGCCAGGAATTAAGAGGCGGTGAAGAACCCTAGCTGCTGTGAAGAACCCCAGCAGCCTATTCCCCAACTGAGGCATTTGGCCCGGTGGCTGGCGGCATCTCAGGGCATGCTGCTGGCCCAGCCTTTTCTCCACAATGACTGCCGACGGGACAAGGTGAGTTCACCTGCCAGATGGGGCCACATGGGCTCATGGTCATGTTGATGACACAAGGGTCAAGAAGGAAATGAGGAAAACTAGTACAAAGTTTGATATGTTTTAAGATACACTAGAAAAGGTTACAAAAGATTATAATAGTATTGTCTTTTGTGGATTTGTTTCACAGGAAAGTGGGACCTTCATGTTTTTTAAACAAATTTCATTTATTTGGGCAGGTGATTTCAAAAGCACACTTCTGCCATGCATTTCTGTGCTTTTTAGAACTAAGGATGTTGTTTTAACTTTTCATTTCAAGAACATAAACTTCTAAGGACAGTACCAGGCTCCCAAGGAGTACTACATACATGCCTTGTCCTAGTGAGTTTGCATGGGGGGGGTGGGGGAGAATCCCTGTGCTAAATGGTGCTACCTGTTTTGATCCCGCAGCTGACTCTCCATTTCCTGAGCCTCCTGCTCCATCTTCTGAGACCACGTGTAATCTCTCCAGGCTCGCAAGACCTTCTGCTGGCACTTCCAGTCTGCAAGAGCCCGGGCTTTCCCTAGCTTGATCTTGAGATCCAGAATAAGCTTATACCAGGCAGAGAAATACTGTTGCAGGCACTACAGGGAGAAGGTTTACAAAAGCAGTCACCATATTCCATCACCTTCAGTAGGTCTAAAGCCAGTTAAGGTGAAACAGATGTGTCTTTCCCAATAGCAATTTGGCTTGTTATCATGCACCCTCTCACTTTCTCTTCTAGTTCAAACACACCCACACACCTGACACAGCCAAACTGTTACAAAACCTGCATATTTGTTTCTCTCTCTTTCTCTTGGGTTTCAAGGACTAGAAGCCCTTCAGGAATAAAAGAGATAAGCTAATCTTCAGAAGGAGAGGAAAAAAGAACAAGGGCTCTTCTGGCAAGATGCATCTGGGACAGAAGGACTCCGTTAATTTCTAAGCATATTATGCTTCTCTGTAAACTGTCTTGAGAGGCTGTTGAAAGGTGGGGTTGAAAGAGAAGCGTGAGCCCACAGCCAGTGTGACTGTGAACCAGGAACCACAAGGCAAACCCCAGCTCCTTCCACTCAACTGTTCAACACAGGCAACTTCTGCTTGCTGCACTAATGGCTCTTGCTTGTTCTCTTAAAAAGTAGCCAGCAATCTCCACAAGTGCCCTTCTCCTGTGCTAAGGAATCCTGATAGGCAGTTTTATTGGTTTAGCAAACATTGCCCAAGACCCCAGATAAAAAGCACAATCTGGCTCAAAGTGCTCAAACAGATTCGGTGAGTGTCACCTTGTGATTTGCGGTGTCAGTCTTGTTCAGTAGCTCCCGCAGCATGGCTTCTTTCTCTTTCCTTTGTCTTTCTTTCTCATAGTCTATCGGGGCTGGCAAAGTAGGAGGGAGGCCAGCTTCTACCAGCCTCTGAATTTTTTTTAACTTGTGCCTTCTTCTTTCCCTGAAAAAGAAACAATTTGTGAGAAGAAAACAGTAAGCGAAAGAAAGAAAGAGTTTCAGATTCTTACATTTAGAACCAGAGTAACTGTGTGATCTCAACTTTAGCTGCAAAGACGGCTAAGCCTTGGGGACTCACTGCCAAGATACACAATTCCAATTCTCTCCCTCCATTGCCTGTTTACCAACATTATTCTCCTCACTGTACTAATACCCTTTGGGAAGGATCCTCTAGAGATGGAGTTAAATGCCATTGATATACAGATGATAACCAACAATACTTCTCTCTCTCAACAAATTCAGCAGAGGCCATGACCATCCTTAACAGATGTTAGGAGGTAGTAATGGGCCGGATGAGGGCCAAATGGCTGATATTGTTTGATAACCAGGAAATAAGGCATTAGCTTGTCTTGAATAGGGCTACACTCCTCCTAAAACAGTAGGTTAACAGCTTCGAGGTAATACTAGAATAAAATCTTCAGGACATTCGTGCTACATTCTGCCTTTAACCAACAGTGGCTGGTTCTCCAAATGCATCCCTTTTCTGGAAAAGTGACATCTGGCCTCAGTTATCCCATTCCAGTTGGATGACTGCAATGCACTTTATATGGAGCTGCCTTTGAAGACATTTCAGAAACTTCTAATTGGTGTAAAGTGGAACTGCAAGGCTAATTAATAAATCCAATATATAAATAAATAATCCTTGGAGATTTTCATCTGACGTCCTGTTCTGTAAGCTTCCATTAGTGGCAGTGACATGGGTAGCCAGAGTAGATGGGGCAATGCCTCACTTGCAGAACTTCCTCCCTGAAGGGAAGTAGCCTGCACTCTACCCTTTTGGAGGTGTTCTCTGAGGCATTCATTAGTTGATTTTTTTTGTCTGTTGTGACTACCTCTACTGGTAGCTTTTAAAGTAACAAATATATTTTCGCCTATTCTTCCTGTTATCATTGATATTTTCTTGCAGTATTGCTGCTGCTTAGATTTGAAGTCTTTAATTACTGCCAGTTTTATTGCCGTTATGTATTATGTATTATTACTATGTGTTTACGGATTTTATTAATTTTTTTTTGTTCCTGCCTACTGATTTTAACACTCTCATGGTCCTCTGTGGGGAAGGAACACAGAAATAATTTAAATAAATAAATGCTAGGAAAAGCAGTAGAACATCTAAGTCTTATGAAACAGACTTCACCGTATCCAGGAGGTCACAAATGAAGGAATGTCAAACTTGGGCTATACAGTGCCTTGGAAGCAAGATAACAAAATCTGCTTGACATCTAGGTTCTCTTTCTCTCAAGCTTACATTTCCTGTGCTTGTTGCATGAGGAGCCTTTTTTCTACCATCTCCTTCCGCAGCTTTACCATCTGCCTTTGGATTTCCTCTTCTTCCTTTCTGTCTTTCAGGAACTTTTTCTTGTTCGCCTTCTGCAGTTGCTTCTGGGCCTCTGACAAGGCAGCTTTTTTCAGGGCCTTCTCTTGTTTCACAAGCTCTAGGGCCTTCTGGCGCTTCAGGCGATTTTCTTTTACCTGAAAAACATAACAAAAGGAGAGACCATGGCTCCAGGACTGGAAACATCTGGAGATTCTGTTGTAGAGCCTGAGGCAGGCAGGGTTTGTGGAGGGGAGGGATTTTAATGGGGTATAATACCACACAATCCACCTTCCAAAGTGGCCAATTTCTCCAGGTGAGCCGAACTCTTATCGCCTGGAGATCAGTTGCAAAAAAGGGAGGAAGATCTCCAGCTACCACCAGGAGGTTGGCAGCCCTGAGGGGCATGGTATACTTGCAAATACTTTCTTTGCGCTATGAGATCTTTCCTGACAATGCCCGGGCTCAGGAATGCATGTAGAAAGGCACTGCATGAACCATATTCCATGGATATGCTCTTGTTGTAATTTCTAAAATCCAGGCAACACCACCAGGATTGGATTGTTCTCAAGGTTCGATGTTCTTTAGATTATTCAGATAAGGAAATGTCCTTATGCCTCCATGTGATCATTCCCATCACAACCAGTACTCAAACAGACCTTGGATGATATGCAGTGGGACTGTCACACGTGAAAAAATCGAAATCTCAGGGGCAGCGACATGCTGGAAACTGACCTCTGCTCTAATAAGTTAAAATACATGGAGATGGACAAGATCCTAAACTAATGCAAGTGCTTTCCTTTCACAATTCACCAAGTATGTAGACGTCAACTACAGCATGTAACTGGACAGTCAAATTACTCCCTTAGACAAAACCTTTTTAAGAAGAACCCCCACACTATATTATTTTTATCACCTACATTTTACGAGAGCACGTGCCTTAATGTAGCTGTACTTCAGCAAACAAGCAAGGAAGGGTTTCTTGTAGGAAATGAGTCTCCTTTACTCCACCTGCTTATGCCTTAGCTCCATGGTAATTCGGGGGTCCCTGTGCTTCCTCTTCTCCTTGTCAGTTTCAGTTCTAAGGTCTTCCAATATCCCACTGTCCACTACTTCACTTTGCAGTAAATGCTGCAAAAAAACTTGCACTGTAGTATTTTCTGTTTCTTGTTCCAAGTAATCATACAGATCTGGAATATATGATACAAACTACAGCAATAAAACCGCTGTGGCATGTGGTCCTGAATCCTACAGAAATGAAAGATTCTTGAATTATTTACGTAATATACAAGAAAATACACTTATTTCCCGTAATTTGTCTCCTTAATATTATGCTGTATACAGTCCAGGAAACCAAGTCCTCTCCTTTCATCTATCAAAATAACTGTATAGCACATTTTTAAATCCCCCAAGGTAAAATGGTTAACAGAGAAACTGGTACTAAATATAATATTGTTAATTGGGTTTGCCTGTGTCTTTTATAAAGTTTATATCTCCTGTAACTGGCATTACATTTTCTGGCACACATGGCCCGGCCCAACAAAGTGACATTCATGTCAGATCCGGCCCTCGCAACAAATGAGTTCAACACCCCTACTCTACAGGGTCGCCATAAGTCAGCTGTGACTTGACGGCACTTTTCACCACCACCATAGCTTATGTTGAAGTGTGTTCTTAGTGAGGCACCAAACAGAGCAACTTCAGTATCAGCACAAGACATGCAACACAGATCCACAGAGCACCATGGATTTTTTATTATTCCCTTGGCTTTAAATGCATATACATGGAACCAAGTTTCCATTCAACTGAGCTTAACAACTGCTACCTCTAACTACATATCCTCTATGCATACATACTAGAGAGTAAGTACCACTGGATTCAAGGGAAATTACTTCTGGGTAAACATGAACAGGATCCGCTTATCTCTCCTTATATATAATAGTATTTTCGTGTGACACTTCTCCAGAACATTTCACACACTCCCAGATCAGTTGAGTCCCTGAAGTGTCAATCACAAGGTGTCTCTATCCATTGGTGGCTGCGTTCCCTTAGTCCCACCACAGAACCGGCGGCCAGCGTCTGGGCCTCAGTATGCTGGGAGGCGATGGACAGGCAGGACGCTCTGGAGAGCGGAGTGTCCTGAGGCCAAGCCTGATCATGGCGGCACCACAACAGTCGAGGTGGAGCCCCAATTGCCAGAGTGGGAGGAAAGGAAGTGGCTGCTGAGCCCCCGGTCACAGCGCCCCACCAACCAGGGCAGCATCCTCTATCCAGCCTGAGAAATGGCACCAGCAGAGGCAAAAACATGGGGAGGGGTTATCCAAACAGTGCTACTAACGGTGACGGGTGGCATCTTCCCTGATTGGGTTAAGCAGCAGCATTAAGAGAGGGAGGAGCCACAGGTGCGCCCTGCAAGCTGCAGTGGGGTGGGAGGCTGGGAAAGTGGCTGCAAGCTGGCACGCGAAGCAGTTCCCGCCAAAGGAGGGGGAAGGTGCTGCTGTTGCCCTTAAGCCAGTTTCTTTGCTGTTATCTTTCTCAACCCCAGACCTCAGCCACTCAGGGTCAGCTCGGCTTTTTGTATACAACAGAGGAAGAGCGACACCTTTGCCTCAGTAGTGGCCAGGCGCTCTTGCTGCACTGTGCTGCGCCGATGTAGGCAGTCCACTCTAGACCTTGCGCCTCAATCACTGGCCAGCCCCGCCGCCCACCCTTTGGCGGCCAAGCTCCGCAACCGCCCCGCCCCAATCCCCTCCCGGCTGTCAACGTAGTTATGAATGATTCATGCACTGCGCATGTTCACACCCTCCCTCGCACTCTGGCCTGCCTGGCTGCACTGCCTGCCTGGCTGCTGCTGCTCTGGGTGCTTGCGGGCTTCGGGGGGGGGGGGCTTGGCCTGAAATGAAAATAACAGGAAGGGAGCGGCAGTACTCCAAACCAGCTCCTTATAGGAAGATGGTTGGAATAAGCACATGAAAGGTGATGGGGAGGGGGACATTGTATGTGACAAGGACAAACCATTTTCCCTGTGGCACAGAGTGGCCGATGAGACTGGCCCAACAGAAGTTCTTAGTTGCACTTTAAACAGTGTTGGTCTCAACAAAACCAAGTGTCTGCTGGAGCGTTAAAGACTTCTCAAGTTTGCTGTGCCATCTCTCATATATAATTGTGCCCTCGACCCCGGGGACTGGGGACGGGAGGAGAAACTGGAGGGGGGGGGGCTGTGTACACACCAACACATCTTGCTAGATCTCATTGTATTGATTTTATAACAGGATTTGCTACTAGTATAAACATAAGTCTGAAATCAGGTCAAGCCCTCACCATCAAACTTGTCATACTTTTGAAAGCCAGTAGGGGGGCCCTGGGGAGGAACAGAGCCAGCTGCAGGATTCTCAGCATCATCTTCTTGATCAGATGCCAGTTCCAATTTCAGTTTTGAATCCATCCAATCGCTGAGCAGTTCTTGAGCTATTTTGGAAAAAAAAACCTGTCAACACTACCACAATCAGAAACAGTAACAGAAAAGCTAAAGGTGTGAACTAAGCCTGAAAATGGACAGCCACTGTGGTGTACTGATTAGAATATATGACCAGGAACTGGAAGACCCAGTTTTGAATCCCTATTCTGCCATGGGTGACCATGGGTCAGGGACTGTCTCTTACACATGCACACTTACCAACCTCACAGGGTTGTTGTTTTGAGTGTAAAATGGAGGAGAGGATTATAGTGGCATTCAAAAATTTCTATAATATTTGTTAAACCAGCATGAGATCCAGCATGGTGTAATGGTTAAGAGGAGCTGACTCTAATCTGCAGAACCTGGTTTCATTCCCCACTCCTCCATATGAAACCTGCTGGGTGACCTTTGTCCAACTGTCAGGTGGGGCTGAGAACTTTCTCAGCCCCACATGCCTCACAAGGTGTCTGCTATGAGGAGAGGAAGGGAAAGGGAACTGTAAATGTACAAAAAAGCACAAGGTGTGTGGCTCTAAGGTGTAATTATAATAAGCCCAGTGATCTATATCAAAAACACTGTTTATAGAATAAACTTAATTCATATATTTATTAACGCCCCAAAGGTCTCTTGTATAAAATGATACATAAAGAACAGCAATGTATTACAGCCAGTTCAAGAGAACCATTAAGAATCTCATGTCCAGTTCCAATACTTCTGAGGGAATAATTAAAGTGTAAAACAGTGTTTTTGATACTCTAACAGATCACTGTGCTTATAATTGCACCTTACAGCCATGCACTTTGTGCTTTTCTGTACATTTACCTGTGGCTGTGCTACTGTTTTTGTTGTTTGTTCTTAGTTAAAGGCAATTGTAAGCCACTTTAAGATTCCTTAAGGTAGAGAAAAGCACGGTATAAAACCTACTCTTCCTTTTTTAAAAACTTTGGAAAGTATACAGAACTAGGACAGAACCAAAATCTGATATGGCACATCTTACCAGCATTTTTTGCCCCTTTCTAATATAAGGAAACTGCCTTACAGAGGATAAAATGGAGCACGGTGATGTAAGCCACTTTGGGTTCCCCTTGGGGAGAAATGCATGGTATAAATAAACACAGTCATTTTAAAGCAAGTCCCTTTAGGTTCTGTAATATTCACTTTAGAGCGGGTCTAATTTTATCCTTATTTATTGTGAGTATTTTTACATTATTTTAAGCTGCCTTGAGCCTAAGAGAAGTAGAAGGATAAAAAAATGATAAATAAAAATTAGTATATTACCCAAATGATTTACTGGTAATTTATAACATTGTAACAATAATTTTATGATTGTTTATATTGCTACTGTTGTTTACTTTAGTTGCTGTCAGTTATTTTGTCATCAACAGACTTCAACATAACCTATAGCACTGTGCTGCTATGCTGACACAATTGTCCCTTTCACCATTAACACTCACCAGTGATGCCCGCAGAGGTAGCCAATCCCCAGCATACCTGGAAGCAAGAATTCTCAAAAAGCAATTTGCAGCACAACACTGAGGAGAGAGGTCTGCTTTTGCAAGAAAAAAATAATATCTAAAATCCTAAGATCGTGCACCAGCCTCTGCATGGACCTAATAAAACTCTCTGAAGCAGAAGACACAAATACAAACGGATCATCAGATGGTATCCTTGAGTAACTGGAGACAACAGAGTTGTGTTTAGAAAATACCTTCCGCATATGCCTCATCATGCTCTTGTAGCTGCTCTGCTGTCTCCAAATCCAGCACCGGGACATTAAGCCTTTGAGAGTAAGGTTTCCTTTTTAAGGAAAAAGCCTCAGAAACGGCAAATTCAGAGGCTTGTTCCACCTGCTAAGAAAGAAAAAATAATAATTAAAAAAAATGTATTGCTTTTTCTATTCTACAAACCTACAGGGTCAAGGGAAGGGAACAACCTAAAACTACGAGTAGAAAGGATCATTAATACATAAATTCAAAATAATCGATATTTTCCTATTACTCAAATAGTAATACATGAGAGTTAATATGCAAATATAAAAGTATAAAGTGAGCAAATACAATCTTGCTTGGCTAAAGTGTGTGTTTCTTAGCTTTAAAATAACTAGTTTATAATAAACATCAGACTTTCAAAGTTAAAAATAATATTTTTTTAATATAAGGAGGCGGTGTAGAGCCCAGGTCCCATAGCTGAGTCATCAGTACCTCCTTGCTTGCAATAAGGTCCCAGGTTTAATTTCTGACAAGTCTAGTTAAAAAAATTTCATAGGTCTTAGAAAAGCCCTTGCTGGAGACTGTGGGAAACCACTGCTAGTAAGAACAGACAGAACTAAACTAGAAGGATGAATTATCCTATTGAATCATAGAGAAAATCTGTATGATGATTTTTATGGAATTTACTTCTAAGGAAGTGTGCTTACAAGTACAGCACAACAGCCCAAATTCACCCCATAATTACTCAGAAGTTATTGTCCTGACTGACACATACAAATGCACACACAGCCTGTAGGATATAAATAGAATTGAATAAAATGGGATTTACTGCAAAGTTAACAAGTATAGACAGGCTGCATATCACTGAATTTCCTCTTACCTTAATCCAGTGTGCCACATTGTCAACATCAAATTTTGGCTGGGGAAAAAAAAATACATAAATGTAACACACAAGAATTCCTTTAATGTTCCTATGAAAATAAAAGTAAAGGACCTCTTAAAAAATACGAGACTGTACACCCTTGCAACTCTGGCAGTACTCCTACCTCCTCTGGAAATGGAAGCTGAGTGAGATGTGGCCCAAAATACTGCTTGTGTTGAGGCCCCATAACTGCCACAACTAAACAGCTGAAAAAGCTCCTTCTTGCCTGGTTCTCTTTTGGTGATCAGCAGCCCCTCAACGGACCCTGGGATTTAATTTTTATTCAGTCTTTCCTCCAAAGAGTTCAGTTTTATCACTGAGAACCCCATTAAGGTGGTACTGATGGCTGTAGGGGTTAGAGTGTCCGACAAGGATCTAGGAGACCTAAGTTTAAATCCCCACTCTGCCATGAAAGCTTGCGGTGTAACCTTGCACCAGTCACTCTCATTCAGACTAACCTACCTCACAAGGTTGTTGTGAGGATAAAAGGGAGATGGGCAGAATGATGCACTTTGTTCTGAGTTCCTTGAGTTCGGGGATAAAAATGTACTAAATAAAACAAATACTGAGTCCTGACTAAATGGCTGCACAGGCCGAGGGTGGGAAGGGCGATCCAGGCTGCGGCAGAACTTTCCTCCTACCTTCTCTCTCGAAGGAGGCTGACTGAGACGCCGCCAACGGTACAGCCTGTGACGAGGTCCCATAACGGCCATTGGGAAAGCCCAAAAGACCAGCACTTTCTCCTCTGTAAGCGTCGGACATTCGCTCGCTCACACATTTACCGTAGTAGCGCACAGGGAATGCTGGGAAATGAAGTTCTACTGCAGAAGCAGTACCGCAATCAGGAGAGGAACATAAACTACAAGACCCACACTGTAAAGCAATGCGAGTGTAGCGTCCTACACGGTCTCCATGACAATACTGTCGCTGCATCCGTTCTTACCCTCGCCGCTTCGTGATGACGATAAGCCCTCTGATTGGTGAAGAGGGCACGAGAAGGAAACGAGGAACCGCGCCGGAAGGCGGCCGGTTCTCGTGGGAGTGAATTGAGGTACAGTTGAGTGTTAACACGTGTGACGCCGCTTGGTGTTCTTTGGTTCTCCGGTCCCCCTGGGTGGGATCATGTTGTAGGGCAAGATGCACTCTGCATAGGCGCTTGGCTCCTGTTCTGTACCTTACGCAGAATGAGACTCTGGTTGTTGTAGCTAGCAGGGACAGGACTGATCATAGGAACACAATTTAAAACCCGAGTTCTGTTTTGTTAGACATGTTTTCGCGGAGTCATCTTTTGTAACACCTAGGTCAACCCAGTGACTGCCCGTTGTGTCTCTTTCTTGTTTACTAAACGCAGAGAGCTTTTGGGGTTAAAAAACTTAGCCGCTTGTCCCCAGCCCAGAATTCTGCCACATCAGAGGCGATGTCGGTGTTACTTTTTCTAAGATCGTCAGTTTCTTTTCTGTCTATATGTTCACACGTGATTCGGGGGGAAATGATAGGAACTAATTCTGTGCATAGAACAAAACAGCATTTTAGGATTTTTCAAGTCCGTGAGTTATGAGTGGTATGCGTGTATCATTTACTTAAGCAATTGCAGTAACGTATGCGCTGGTGCCTACAGCAAAATGCTATACCTCTTTCCTGTATAGAGCTAGTATGCTGTACAGGATTTTTCAAGTCCGTGAGTGTATGAGTGGTATGCGTGTATCATTTATTTAAGCAATTGCAGTAACGTATGCACTGGTGCCTACAGCAAAATGTTATATCTCTTTCCTGTATAGAGCTAGTATGCTGTAGTGGGTAGAATGTTGGACTAGAATCTGTGAGATCCAAGGGCAAATCCTTGCTTTTCCAAAGCAAATAGGGTGGGTTTGGGCTAGTCACTATATCAGCCTAACCCACCTCACAGGGAACTTGTTGTGAGGATGAAATGGAAGAGGGCAGACACAATGTATGACACCCTGAGCTCCTTGGAGGATGTTTATGCTCTGTAATGTGTCTAGAGTTCTAAAAGGAACTCATACTAAAGTCAGTGTAAGTTCATATTTATTTATTT